CTATAATTTCAAGAATAATACCGAAATACTCCATTCACTGGAATGTCTGGCCTTATTTACTCATATGAATTCGAAAAATGGTTCAAGGATCCATTTATGGATGTTCTGAGTAGTTTATTTAAAATATTAAGCCAATATATACAAAACACGCAATAGGGCTGCCAGTTGATGAAATTTAATTTGTCGAGATATCAAAGGTTCTGGTAATTTCTGGATGTGGCTGTCGTTACTATCGGGGTGTCCGGACTTCAATAAATTTTGATGAGCTTCCTTACATAGTTATGTTTTTAAGATCTTAACATTGAGTTATTTATTCTGACTTTTGGGACATCCCAGAATCTTGCAAATTTCTCCATGAGGAAACTACCTTACTCTTGAAGATTTACCCTCATCCTTATCATTAAATCTAAAAAATATTAATTTATTTTTGTCCAATATCTCGAAATACATTCTTTGTAGGAATCTATTGGTACTACTCCGAGACTGAATAAAACTTTCGTCAATTTCCTCATTTTCTCGCAGATTTTTAAAGTTTTCCATAGGAAACCATGAGACAAATTTACTCATCGCTGAGTTCCTGCACTTTTAGCGATTATGGGTGAACTAAACTCAAATTTGGGTCGTTCTCATTCGCCGTGTACGCAAAAGGAAAAGAGCCAGTGTCGCTACTTGATAGCAAACTACTCATAATGGGAGGAGTCTTTGTAGCTTTTATACCACTTGGTTGCACTTTATTCTGCTTCAACCTGAAAAGATATAAAAGAGCGCTACTGTATGGCATTAGCTCATTTTCGCTTCGGACGGTGTGGTGAGCAGCAATAGCAGCAGTAGGAAGGTGGTGGCTAGTCCACTCCTTCACACCCAACAAGCTACAATTGACTAGTCGATGTCAAACGTGTCTCCGGCCATCGATGTCGTCTACGCTTTGAAGTGACAGACGAACTCTGTACAGCTTCGGAGGTTAAATCATCATCAACTTTGGTAACAAAACGGCTCTTTTCAGGGCCATCAAGCTTACATCAGTAAAGAGTTGGAATAGAATTTATCTGTGCTTGATTGTCCATATTCAGAACCACAAGCCCCCAACGACCACACAAAATGCTCTCCAGAGTTGTAATCTTGAAACCAAACTTGGAAGCAGGTGTGCAAGTGATTTTGATTGATTCTCTTAATCAACTTTCTCTTTGAAAAAAATTACTACAAATTTGGTACGCCTACAATTCAAAAACGGAAAGAGTTGAGATAATAGATAATTGATCAATTAAAAGAACTAAATGCTCTTCACATTATTTCCGTCCACTAGCGGTCCTACGTCAAGCTTCCGTTCGTGCCCCTAGGCACAGACCCTTCTACTTTTTTTTTTAAATTGTATGGGCTGTAGATAATTGTCAACCCCCTTCCCCCTCATTAATTCTGTCTACGTAGTTTATGAACAGCCCCTTACATTAAACAGCTTCTTTTTATAAGTGAACTATTAGTTTTTGCTAATATAAAATAACGGAGAGTTCGGTGATGATCTTAATACTGATAATACTGCATACTTAATGCTCATGTCTTTGTATTGCCATAATATTTTACGTTCTTTATTTTTAATTATAGAGCTATCGTTCTTTATTTTTAATTATATAGCTTAATTTATAATTATAAATTATTGTTTGCATAAAAAAGGAGACATTTTTTGAAGATGGTTTAAGCGATCCCTCATAAACAAATACCATAAACGAACTTTATCCCGGATGGGTAAACTATCCCACAAATGGTTTGGATGATACCCCGAACACGTCGTTAAGCTCTCTTTTGTGGTTATTTTTATTAGGGATGACCTGCCACCTAAAAACCTTAATTTTAAGCTGCCATAGGTTAACTGTTTATAATTCAATGATGAAAGCGATGCGTATTGCTTTTCTGTAATTATTACCAAAAATTGGAGAAACTCCAACTGAATAATTGTTTATTTCTTTAAATTTGCATGGGTAACTTTTTTTCAATTTTCTTTCTCTATGATAAACTTAGATAAGAAGTGTATGCACCATTTTTTCCATTAACATTTTTTGTTTAAACCAATTGCATCAAACTTTGATTTCATTTTATAACGTATGAGGAAAAAAACGACCGTACAAATTTGGAGTTTGATGCATACAGTTTAAAGCAGCAACATTTTGCAACAAGGTTTATATATAAGTATTGCAAATCTTAAGAAGCTGTCAAAGTTCTACCGCCAGTATAAAAAAGCGCTGAATATTGAAAAAAAAAACATAGTGCGCGTTGAGAAATTGAAGTATATTTGCTGGTGATTCTTTGAAGCCTCGTTCATTTGATAGCTGTAGTGGAACTTCTTCTTCTTCTTGGAATTAATACGTAAAACAGACATAAATCTCTTGATGTTGTTTGAGCTAACCTTGCATCTTTCCATCCACAAGAATTTTGCAAGAAGGATGACAAATGAAAGCGCTTATCGATACCTGTAATACTCAAGGTTTTAACCCTTTCTATGTTTCTCAATAGCGAAAATTGAATGTTTCTGCTCAAATCCCAACACAAAGATCTACTGACTGATTATCTACAGTATGACTGGTTAACAATGCGCTTGATTGACTTCTGACCGACTTGAAAACACGCGTTAATAAATCCTGCCCAAAGCTAGCCTAAAAAAAGAATGGCCGCATTACCTTGACAATTAGCCTTTTCGAATTTCGGCCACTCTGTAACTCTTTACTCCTATGGTAAAACCCCATAGGCAAACGTCAGTCTGTGCGAGACACATGTTAGACATTACCTTACCCTTTTACTCCAGTGAAAAATCTCATAAGATCCTGTTAATCTTTGCATGAAGAGTCGGTGGCTCGCTGGCACCATGGTGGAGTGAAGAGATAAGACAACATCCGCTAGACTTCGGGATTTTACCATAGGAGTAAAGAGCTAGAACCACCATCAATGTCAATACTTACACGTTATTTCAAAACAACTCCAATTTGGGTAGAATCCTCTCAGATCGCTCACAACTGAACCTACTCAAAAATGTGTAAACAAGCTAACACTTGAGCAACATTGGCATGAATCCTACCGACGTTGTTCAATTGTTAACCTGTAACTCCCAACATAGTTTACCCATTTTTTGATAGATTCAGTTTTGACCGATCAGGGTGGATTTTACTCAAATTTGGGTAGTTTTCAAATAGCGTGTACTGAGCATGCAACGAAAAATCTGATTTTCTTTCATAAGGGCCAATGTCACACACGTAAACACTGACTTTTCCACGAATTTCTTGAGAATGAAAACTCGCTCAAGTAAGCCATCACGATGTTTGTGTATAGAGAAAGTCCTCATAGCTGATAGAATTGCTGAGTTACATGGATTAACTTTGAATTACAAGATATTTACGAAAGAAGCCATTGCTTACGTTTCCGTCATTGGCCCATATGAAGACTCAGTGTCGAATCACGAAAATTTAATTTTGACGCATCGATGTCCAACTATACCAGTTATACCACTGAGGAAACACAAAAAAGGGGTCAACATTTAGTCAGCAGTTTTGCATGAAGTTCCACATATGTTATGTGTTCAGCGTCAAGGTAAAACGAATGCAGTTTCGTGATTATTTGAAAATTGCCATTGAAATGCACGCCTTCTGTAAAAGTACGCCAAATAAAATATTACAAAATGTCAGTTCCTTCTGGTTTCCCAAAGACAGCGTCGTCAGAGAAAATTGAGTTCAATTATGTCGGCTTCCTTTCGATCAGCGTGATGGAAAACTCTTGAATATGGACCGTAAGTAATCTATTACATTGATAATTGAATTGTCGTTTAGATGAAAGTCGATTTGAAACTGATTAATTATATTTCAGCTACATTTTAATTACGATTAAGATTTATAAATGACATAGAATGGCGGAAAACTATTAGTAGCGGAGGGCGCAGTTTCTGTTTTTGAAAATGTTGTATGAAATTTATGATGATTTGAAAGATTATAATAGGCCTGACTTGTTGATTTATACTTATTTATAATATTGTAAAGATCTTACTTAAAACGTGAATTTCAGGCAAATCTTATAAAATTTCGTATATGTCAGATGTTTGAAGATGTACAGCTTTTATGTTTTGAGCAACTTTTCATAAAATTCTACATTCTACAACTTTGCCGAAAAATCAAACCTCTATCTTACGAAATAAAAAAATGTTTGTATCGCTGCGCCATCTTTGTGCCCAAAACTTTAACTATTTTTATCCACCAAATTATATTCCTAATTAATCCAGAAAACTTCACTGAAGACGTCAACTCAATTGGATGCATTGGAATTCCTGGCTCACTGTGCAATGGCCGAGTTGGGGCGAAATTTATCTTTGGTCAAAACTCGTTCACTTACCCTAATTATGTTTTGACACATTTTGAAAACGCAATCTAGAAAACTAGGTTTGTTTGATCATAAATGCGAATCTCAACTAATCTTATTTAAATTTTGTTTGTTGCTCTGATAATCCTAGAAGATGCTGTTAGATTTTTTGAGGAAAGAAACTTCAACGATTTCCTTTATTGGATCGATGAGCACCTTTTTTCCCTAAAACTATACCAAACCTGTGGAATTATTCCTTATATTCATTCTCACACTCCAAGAGTCACGCCATCATCGTCCTCATCGCCGCCAAACATATATTAATCGACGGTTTTCATCTAGTTGCTCCAGCTACCACAGTAACCTCCCAGCCTTAACTGTTATGATTTATAGCTAAGTGTGTCTACATTGTTCCTGCTCAGTATTTTAAACAGTTTTTCTAAACCTGCATGTCAGTACAACAATTTACATCTTAAAACTGAAAACTTAAACTAAAACTTATCTAAATGTAAAAGGAAATAATTATTGCAATTGAGGACTGCCAATCAATTCTAGTTATCTCGGTAGTACTGTACCATGAAGACAACTTCAAAATCATCTTCAGAGCTTAATTCTGAATCCTTTGAGGTGTTTTTTTCCTGGTCTAACTAAAAACCTGTTTGAATATTAGAAGTTTATTCTTCGGGCAGAATTTGGATTTTTGGTTTAAGAGAGGATATAAACATTTTATATATTGGTTGATGTCCTTTTTAATGTGATCTTTAAAAATTATTTATGTTCAAGAACTATTTCACTTGACTTGACCAAGAAATTGGAACTCCGTTCAAAGTGACTATGCGACTACTACTAGGTTTCAAAAAGGAAGCTCTCAGCTTATGTGGGAATATTATAAGTTGAGTTTCGAAAGCGTCGGGAGAAATCTTCCATTTTTGTAAATAAGAAAAGAAAATATCGAAACTTTTCTACAGTCTGCGGCAAATAACACGATGACTTCTTCCTTTAGCGGAAATGCCTGTATCATTGACAAACAAAGAATTGAGGCAACCCTGAGGGAAATCAGGAAGGTCCGAAAGAATATAACATATCGACCCAAGAATGCTACCTTGAGGAACTACTGCTCTAACAGGCAGTCGTTCAGATTTGGAAGTTTGATAATTTACCTTATGATTTCTGTCAATTAAATAATTGTTTTAAGTTCCTAATCTAGAGTGGAAAAATAAACTTTTTCGTGCCAAACACTGTCGAATGCTTTTCCTATGTCTAGAAGAGCAACTCCAGTTGAGCAGCGTTCAGATTTGTTTGAATCAATAGACAAGAAATACTAATGATAAATGTTACTAATAGATTGTGCTTTTTTTTTTAGGAACAATAATGGAGCCCACCAAGGATACAGTCGACAGTGGCCGCTATGCATGGGGTGGCAATACTGGAAATCATGGCAACAAATACGAAGAAGATTTAGCATTTGCGCTGTTTGAGCGAGCATCTTTGCGGAAATCTAAATTCAAACTTGCCTCAGAAATGAAGGACGCTGGAAAATTCGATGATGTGGTCATAATTTTCGAAGAACCGAAGGAAGTGTGGTTGTTCCAAGCCAAACACAACGACAGCTCAGATGGTTCAAAACCAATATCGTTCAACAATTTGTTTCCAAAGACGCGTAAGGAAAATTATGATTTTGCTATTATCAAGTACATACAGTCCTATTTAGACGTTATTCAAAAAGATGAGTTCAAGGGGTTGAAGATGCGATTTTTTATCCTAACCAATAAATCATTAGACGATAGCAATAGTCAGCTAAGAGAGTTGGTGGACATCGAGGTCTGTGAACAAAGTGAAGTGAACCCAATAATGAAGTTTGCTGAATCGGACGATTGCTACAAAAGATTCAGACCAAAAAAGGATAAAATTAAAGATTTACTGAAGTTGATGAACACCGAACTACATGCCATTAGGGATGCGATCATTGAACTCTTCAAAAGTGGAAAAGTTTCGGACTTACTAATCAACTACAAAACACCGTTGCAGAAGATCCTGGAAGTTTCAAATGAAAATCTAAAGGTCAAAGATGTTGTCTCAACCAGAAAGGATGATTGGTTGTGCAATGAGCTACTAAAGGAGATTGGTGAAAAAAAAACAGCGAAAAATCCAGTGATTCAATCATTTATGAAAGATAAATCTAGGAACACCCAACTACCAAGGTATTTAACTGAAGATAGCGTGAGCAAGTTCTTTCAGCATCTAACTTTCTGTGTAAACCAACCAAGTGATCTAATAAGAACGATTGACAATGATCTTCGCTCATGGATGAGAGATTGGATTCCACCGGACCATCTTGGCAAAGTACAATTAAAACTACCTTTCAATAAATTTGATGAATGTTTTAAAAAGTGGATCAATTCTAAATGTTACAAGGATACAACAAACAATAAGCCAGAAAAGAGTTACTTATCTTATAAAGAGGGAAGTTCTTGTGTCGAAGAAATAACGAGGGAACTGAGTGATAATTTTTCACAACGTAAATATGTTGGAAGCTCGTACATAGAAAGAAAATTAATTGATAATAATCTTATTGCTAGTGACCATGATTTCATCAATCGATTAATAGACGACCAAGCAGAAAACAAATTTTCTCTCTTCATCGGAGAGCCTGGTATGGGAAAAACAACTATCCTCCAATACATTGCCTTCGAAGTTCAAAAGAAATCCGATATTGATGTGTTCTTGATATATTTGAATAACTTAAAGGAAACGCTCAAATCAGGCTGTGAAAACTTAGAAGCGGTTTTCAAAATTCTGCGATCAGTTCTTTCGGAATCAAGCAGGACAATTTTGAAAAACAATCTAGAAAGCAACGCAAATCGAACTCTAATCATGTTTGATGGGTTCGATGAGATCACTTTTCATAACGAGGCAATCGCCGTAATTAGGCAATTTTTGTCAAAGAAGAATATTCGAGTGATTGTAAGTGGTAGATATCATGTCAAGGATATTCTTGAAACTGAATTTAAAGTAAGTGCAATCAGATTGATTCCATTTGAAAACGATGAACAAATAATGGTTTTGAAAAATTCATGGGAAGCTTCCGATGATTCAATGGAATTTGAAATTTTTTCAACTCAATTGCTCGAAAAATTAAACTCGGACATAAGTAGCTATGACTCTGAATTCTTTGGTATTCCACTTATAATTCGATTGTTGGCGGAAGTATATTCTGATGATTTCCAACAATATTTAAATACTGTTCCAGATAAACGTGCACCAGATATTTTCCCGAAAGAAAAATTTAATGTTCTCTCATTGTTTAAAAAGTTTGTAGAATTTTCGTTTCAAATCAAATGGAAGAAAAAAAGAGACCAAGATCCTTACCGAAATATCGACATATCAAGTGATGACGAAGAGCGCCGTCAATTGAAATACTTTACTATGGAGCATCAAATGGCTGCCTGGCACGAGATTTCTAGTTTTCGTCTTAAGGAAATAATCGCATTGGGTAAAAATGAAAAACTTTACAACGACCTCCAAATACGAATCAAAGACGGAAAAGAGCACTCTCCTCTATTTAAAATTATCGAAGGCAATCTTACATTCGTACATCGATCCTATGCTGAATTTTTCGTTGCAACGTATCTATATGAACATGTCCAAAAATGCAAAGAAATTTTGTACGAAACACTTTGTTATCATGAAACAGTTCAAAGATTTTTCTTTATGCTAACTGAAGAACAGTTTTCAGAACAATCAGCGCAAATGATTGCTCTGAGCGATATTTGTAAAGATTCACCTGAGGTTGCATTCTGGGCATGTGAAGCAAATTTTTTAAAAGTAGTAAAGGGGCTACTACAAAAGTATGATTACAAAACTGAAACATACGGAGAACACGGATCATTATTACACACTGCGACGAATGCTGGTCATTGTGAGATGGTTTCATTTCTACTTGATTATGGCATAGATGCGAATTTGATGGCCGTGGCTAATTCAGAATATAGTGCCAAGGGGCATCTAGATATTTTTAAACTTCTCCTCGATCGATCTGCCAGCGTGGATCATCAGGATAAATTTAATAAAACACCTCTCCACTATGCAAGTGAAAAGGGGCATCTAGATATTGTTAAACTTCTTCTCGATCGATCTGCCAGCGTGGATCATCAGGATAAATTTAATAAAACACCTCTCCACTATGCAAGTAAAAAGAGGTATCTAGATATTGTTAAACTTCTTCTCGATCGATCTGCCAACGTGGATCATCAGGATCAATTTAATAAAACACCTCTACACTATGCAAGTGAAGATGGGCATCAAGATATTGCTAAACTTCTCCTCGATCGATCTGCCAACGTGGATCTTCAGGATGAAAAAAAAAGAACACCCCTCCACTATGCAAGTGCAAATGGGTGTCTAGATATTGTTAAATTTATTTCCGATCGATCTGTCAAAGTCGTTTATGGGAATGAATATATGTTGAAAATGTTCTTATCTTCAAGGTTTCTTTGGCATCTAGATATCATAAAACTTCTCCTCGATCGATCTGCCAACGTGTATCATCAGGATGAAAAAAAAAGAACACCTCTCCACTATGCAAGTGCATTGGGGAACCTAAGGATTGTTAAACTTCTCCTCGATCGATCTGCCAACGTAGATCATCAGGATAAAAATAATAAAACACCTCTCCACTATGCAATTGCAAACGGGCATCAAGAAATTGTTAAACTTCTTCTCAATCGATCTGCCAACGTTGATCATCAAGATGAAAATAACAAAACACCTCTCCACTATGCAAGTGAAGATGGGCATCAAAAAATTGTTAAACTTCTTCTCAATCGATCTGCCAACGTTGATCATCAAGATGAAAATAACAAAACACCTCTCCACTATGCAAGCAAAAATGGGTATCTAGATATTGCTAAACTTCTCCTCGATCGATCTGCCAACGTGGGTCATCAGGATGAAGAAAAAAGAACACCTCTCCACTATGCAAGTAAGAATGGGTATATAAATATTGTTAAACTTCTCCTCGATCGATCTGCCAAAGTGGATCATCAGGATAAATATAATAAAACACCTCTCCATTATGCAAGTGAAAAGGGGCATATAGATATTTTTAAACTTCTTCTCGATCGATCTGCCAAAGTGGATCATCAGGATAAATATAATAAAACACCTCTCCATTATGCAAGTGAAAAGGGGCATATAGATATTTTTAAACTTCTTCTCGATCGATCTGCCAAGGTGGATCATCAGGATAAATATAATAAAACACCTCTCCATTATGCAAGTGAAAAGGGGCATATAGATATTTTTAAACTTCTTCTCGATCGATCTGCCAAGGTGGATCATCAGGATAAATATAATAAAACACCTCTCCATTATGCAAGTGAAAAGGGGCATATAGATATTTTTAAACTTCTTCTCGATCGATCTGCCAAGGTGGATCATCAGGATAAATATAATAAAACACCTCTCCATTATGCAAGTGAAAAGGGGCATATAGATATTTTTAAACTTCTCCTCGATCGATCTGCCAAAGTGGATCATCAGGATAAATATAATAAAACACCTCTCCATTATGCAAGTGAAAAGGGGCATATAGATATTTTTAAACTTCTTCTCGATCGATCTGCCAAGGTGGATCATCAGGATAAATATAATAAAACACCTCTCCATTATGCAAGTGAAAAGGGGCATATAGATATTTTTAAACTTCTTCTCGATCGATCTGCCAAGGTGGATCATCAGGATAAATATAATAAAACACCTCTCCATTATGCAAGTGAAAAGGGGCATATAGATATTTTTAAACTTCTTCTCGATCGATCTGCCAAGGTGGATCATCAGGATAAATATAATAAAACACCTCTGCACTATGCAAGTGAAAGGGGACGTCTAGAAATCGTTAAACTTCTCCTCGATCGATCTGCCAACGTGGATCATCAGGATGAAAATAATAAAACGCCTCTGCACTATGCAAGTGAAAGGGGACGTCTAGAAATCGTGAAACTTCTCCTCGATCGATCTGCCAAGGTGGATCATCAGGATAAATATAATAAAACACCTCTACACTATGCAAGCAAAAATGGGTATCTAGATATTGCTAAACTTCTCCTCGATCGATCTGCCAACGTGGGTCATCAGGATGAAGAAAAAAGAACACCTCTCCACTATGCAAGTAAGAATGGGTATATAAATATTGTTAAACTTCTCCTCGATCGATCTGCCAAAGTGGATCATCAGGATAAATATAATAAAACACCTCTACACTATGCAAGCAAAAATGGGTATCTAGATATTGCTAAACTTCTCCTCGATCGATCTGCCAACGTGGGTCATCAGGATGAAGAAAAAAGAACACCTCTCCACTATGCAAGTAAGAATGGGTATATAAATATTGTTAAACTTCTCCTCGATCGATCTGCCAAAGTGGATCATCAGGATAAATATAATAAAACACCTCTCCATTATGCAAGTGAAAAGGGGCATATAGATATTTTTAAACTTCTTCTCGATCGATCTGCCAAGGTGGATCATCAGGATAAATATAATAAAACACCTCTCCATTATGCAAGTGAAAAGGGGCATATAGATATTTTTAAACTTCTCCTCGATCGATCTGCCAAAGTGGATCATCAGGATAAATATAATAAAACACCTCTCCATTATGCAAGTGAAAAGGGGCATATAGATATTTTTAAACTTCTTCTCGATCGATCTGCCAAGGTGGATCATCAGGATAAATATAATAAAACACCTCTCCATTATGCAAGTGAAAAGGGGCATATAGATATTTTTAAACTTCTTCTCGATCGATCTGCCAAGGTGGATCATCAGGATAAATATAATAAAACACCTCTGCACTATGCAAGTGAAAGGGGACGTCTAGAAATCGTGAAACTTCTCCTCGATCGATCTGCCAAGGTGGATCATCAGGATAAATATAATAAAACACCTCTACACTATGCAAGTAAAAATGGGCATATATATATTGTTGAACTTCTCCTCGATCGATCTGCCAAAGTGGATCATCAGGATAAATATAATAAAACACCTCTACACTATGCAAGAGAAAATGGGCATCTAGATATTGTTGAACTTCTCCTCGATAACATGAAACAACAATAGTCACGAACCTTCCAAGAAAATCGACCTTTCGATGCCTTCAGGGCCAGACTAGACTCTTAGCCCGTCAACGAGAAGCATTCGCGAGGTATCTTGAAAGCACATTCAGCTCAGCTCGCCAACGAGAATCATTCGCGAGGTATCTATGAAGATCTCCCTCCAGTCTCTCGGTAGACGAGTTTTGGATCAGACAGAATCCACTCCCAACCAGCCAACAACAAGCATGCCTTTCAAAAAGAGAAGTCTATTCACTACCCTTGCTCTGTTATACTTGGAATAACTGCACATCGAAATATCCAATTTGAAACGAATCCAATATTTTCATTGAACTAAAATTTAAAAACACTGTATGCAAAAGCTGCCGCCAGGTAAGCAAATTCTGAAATACTTTACTATAACGGATGAAGAGGAAAATGGTTTGGTTGTGGAAGAGATCGAGTTTCGAAAATCAGTTCATTATTGTTTGACACCCCTGATTCGATAATCAGTATTATAGGAATGCACCAAATTGAATAGTTCCGTGCAGTGTTGGCAAAATCATCAATCAAATGACAATTTTCCGCTCTCATACGTTCTCAACATCACGCGTGATATTGAAACAAAATAACATGCTTGATATTGATTTTACAAGCTCCTTTGATATTGCGAGACTATTCACAACGTGCGAAAAATCAAGCTGAGAGTTGACTCGACACAAAAAGGATGAAATTGCACATCGTTTTCTTAGAAAGAGAAAGTACAGTTTCCTATCTCTTTTTACTCTTCACCGATGGCAGACACGAAGATGCTGCTGCCAGTCGTTATGGATGCGTTCGGGTGTAAAGCAATAATCATGAAATTCAATCTCTCCACAGTTGAGATTTGCAGCTGGTGAGCTTTGTTAGATTGATATTCCGAGCTAGCAAAATTAACCGCAGATGTTTGCTTGTTAATTTTTGTCTACGAAAATCAAGCGTAATCTTGAGCATTGGATATTTTTTTACGTTTTCTAAACACTGGTTCCGTGCATCACTAGCACCTTGAGGTTTTGCAATACCTTTGAAATTCATGCTATCGCTACTTACCCGTCACCCACATTTATGTGACCCGGTGATGATTCATCAGATAAAACTATATTATACCCACGTACAAAAGCGCTTCGTTTATTTCACCGAGTGCCTCTGGATCAATCTATAGTTTTAAACCTAGATTAAAATATCATTCATCATTACAAACAGTTTCAGGCCGAATAGCAAAAGAAAATAACGATTTCTCGCCACCTAAAATCACGTCCGATTGAGCTCAAATATCGCACAGGGTCTTTTTACGAGGCCATAAGCATTTTGCACATGGGTCATTTTTTTCCCAAACATTAATTGGCACCCTAAAGATGATATACATTTTTACGTTCATGTAGTCATTAGGGCAAATTTTGAAAAGTGAAAGATTGAAATGAGTTTTTCTTGGAAATGTAAGTTTGTTAAATTTTCAGGATCTTTATCTGAGAATGGATATTGAATACATAAAATGATCTTGAATTTAATTTTGTGAAGATTTTACAGTTTTTCAAATATATCTTAATTTTGATAAATTCTGATTTTAAGATCACAAGCTAGGATACTTTCCTAAATTTGGGTACTCAGATAAATTTTATGATCAAGGGCGTAGACAATATTTGAAGAACTTGGACTTGGAATAAGCAAGGCATAAATATAAACGACACCTAAAGAATGCACACCTTGCACTTAAAATGTTCATAACTACCAGAAAACCTTGGTCAGGAGCAATTAACTTTGAAAATGATAAATAGACAAGTGGAAAGTAGCAATAGAAAATAAATGTTTCATCGGTAAAACTGCGAAAATAAGCAACAGTTAAATGAAAAGTTGCAACAGATAATTAAAAAAAAATAGAAAATATATGTTTGAGCAATAAAAAACCTTGAATGATCCATGAAAAGTTGATGAGTTTCCAATTAAAACTCTAGAAGAAGCAATGAAAAACTAAAAATGAGCACAACAAAATAAATAAAAAGTGAGCAATGAAAACAAAGAAGTTAATTTTTATTATTATTATTAACCAACAAAACGGTTGTTTATCAATTTATTATTGCTCGCTTTTTAATGGTATAGTGCTGCGATGCCTCCGGACAGTTAATACCCTCAGAATTGGTAATGTCTGAATTTTTAAGCTAACATAAGATCGGCTGGGTTTTTGTGGCAGGCAGCATATGAAGGTAGAATTATGATCGCGAGCATCCAAGATCAAAAAATCAGAACTTGTTGTCAACAATGTACAGGAGGGAAGATGATTAAATAAACATTACAATCAGAAAAGATTTCGTTTTTTTCCGAAAGAAAATCCATAACTTCTAGCTCAAGCGACTGGGGAAGGCCAAACTGGGTTATTCATGGGCTTAGGTCGGATGCAGAGGTCTAGTGAATGCACTCATTTTCACATTGTTATAAGTTTACGAACCTCATAGTTCATCAAATTCCTAGTAACTTATGCGTTCAACACTCCGAACACGATGCCTTCGAAAGCCGCAAGTGTGCATTGACATAGCTTAGCCATTTCTTGATGAATCCCAAAAAATGTGGTTCCCTAGAATTCCTAGTGAAAAAGAGTCATTTCACGTTTTTTTTTAAAGGAGTGTTTATAGGTTTTGCAAATGGTTTAAGATCTATAAGTTTGATTAGTGAGCATAAATGTTCATAATTAGCCAGAACACAGTCATGGTTCCTATATATGGATCAAGAGTGGAAGAGTGGTCAATCCACGAAACTGATTTTGGACGCGTGATCAGGCATCAAAATTATCTCTCTCTATTATCCATTATCCATTGGATATTATCCCTAATATTTAAAACGGATAACATTCGAGTTAAAATTATCCGGATAGAAAAAAAGGGTTCTTGCACATGACAAATCTGGAGAATGTTTCTTCTGTGATAGGCTTCAACACTAACATAACGTGGAGGAGTGCCAACAAAGAAAGTCAAAAGGCCCACAAGTAACGACATTCAAAATAAGGTTTATTGAAGGAGCTTGGACTCACATTAAACCTGATCATAAAATAATCATTGTAGGGCTTATACTAGAAAAAAATAAATGAAAAAAAATTCTCTTATAGATCACAAGACTACAAAAATCAACAGAGAGTTATTAAAGATACTGGAAATTGAGAAAAAAATATCCAGATGAGCTGCGAAAGATAGCATCAAAAACTGATACTAATATGAAAACAGTAGAAGAGTGTTACGAAGACTTAGCTAATAGGATGAAGAAGGCAGCTTCAAGAGCTTTGTTGTTGTTGAAAAGTTTGATATGTTGAATTAAAAGTACAAGCTAGGTAATCGTAGGCAGGAATACAATCAAGCTGTTAAGAAACACGAGGAGAAGGAAATAATGGATTTTTTTTTAGAAATTTGAACGATTTTGATGTAGGTCAGAGACTAAAAAAAGCATATAACTATTTGAAAGGATTGCAAAGCAAAAAAAGAGAAAGTTGGCAAAGATCACTGCAAAACCATGAGGAAATATACCAAAGGAAAGCGAAGGTCCAGAGATAGAACTGTGCACAGAACATGATTAAGTACCACTTCCAAATCCACTGACCAGCACTGACCATTCAGTTTTCATGCAACGGAAAATCAGCAGGATCAGATCGAGTTTTTATGGAGTTTATGAAAGGCACGAACGAAGATCTACATAGAGAATAAGATGCCAGAAGAATGGTACAGGACAACACAAATCCCTATACCAAAGAAGGCAGGAGCGACGGAGGCAGATCATTTCTGAAGCATATCGTTGTGTAATGTTGCATATCAAATTTATGCAAAATGGATTGCTAAGCAGTTCATGAAATTTGCGGGAGAGCCAGCATCAAGCTGTCTTCACAACGAAAAGATCAACTGATGATCACAAGAAGAGCATTTGAATAGCGGTAACGACCTGATAGTCTTAGCACTAGATATAAAAAAAGCTTTCGATACAGTTAAGGATATTCTTCTAGGCTTAGATGCTCCCTCAAGAATAGTGGACAGAATTCTGATGTGCGTTGAAGACGAAATTACTAGGGTATTTTGGGAATTTCAATACTCTGAGGAAGGTAAACGTGGTAAAGGCATTAAGCAAGGCATTATTCGACGCAGGAAGGTTTGACCAATGTTTCGAAAGAAATTCCTGAATTAAAACTTTTAGACTTAGGCTGTTTAGTACTTCCTTTGATTTTGGCGTTTGCTGATTACTTATTGATTATTGCTGGGAATTAAGAAAGATGGAGGCAGTATTGAAAATCATTACAAAAGAGTTGCTGAAAGTAGGCTTGAGTATAAATTAGGATAAACGCCAGATTATGTTTAGATATCCCAACAATAAAGCAAAACTCCCCCAGAACAGGTTACATTAAATGGAAAAAAACATTTAGGCTTAGGGATCGCATTAAATACCTAGGTGTATGTCTAACAGCAGAATTGAATAGAAAATTAACCAAAAGAGACAGGTGTAGGAATGCCTTGAAAACTAGCAGAATGGTACATAGTAGATTTTTGTAAACACTTTCATCTGAGTTGGGAGTTGAGGAAGACTATATATAAAACAGTATTAGCTCCTGCACTTATATATGGCACTAAAGTAGCCGTTCTTACAAAAAACAGTAGGTTTTCTCTAGCTAATTATGACAAACTTATTTTACGTTATATAGACAGTGAATGTAAAAAAAAGGAAAAATCAAAATTTAACGCTAACAAATTGCTCGACGGTAAAACTATTAACAGAAGAATTAGAGTGAGTAGGATCTGTTATTACGGCCAAATTTTTAGGAGAGAACATAATCATTCCATCAGACTAGCATTCAATATGAATTTTTGGCTGAAGATAGGGAAAACATTAAAGTTAAAACTGAAGAGATTTATAAATAAGATAATAATGAAATTTCAGAATTGCTGATAGATGAAATTGAAATCAAAATACACCAATCGATAGGAAATAACTCTACAAATCTGCTGAAATAAAAACTATTCCAATTTTCCATTCAAATCTTTTGAAAAATGTACAGTAAGTTTTCCTTAATCTAGTCATCATTATCGAGAACTACACTTATAAATCACCGCGTGAAAAAATATGATTTTGGGCCCTTGATTTTTTTTTTAATTCTTAGACTAGACTAGATTTTTTGTCTTCACTTTTTTTCACGTAGGACTACGTCTGTAATTTCTAAATGAGGAAAACTTGGTGAAAACCGAAAATGGAACATGCAACGAAATAATGAAAGATGTTGAGCGTTAATAACTCAGCTGCCCCAGGACCAATTTCAATAATAATATAACCAATCGATCAGAAATATTTCTACGGATCTGACTGTTTTCGACCGTTGATTTTCAACAAGGAACTATTGAAAAGTAGTAAATGTCAAGCATTGTCCAAAAGCGTCAAAATAACCAACAAATCCACCAATTACGTACATGCATCAGAGACTCGTTTATAGACGAAACAAGTTGAAGTCGCATTCGCCTCCGATCTTCGTGCGTGTGCTAATAGGAAGGATGCAATTGCGTAACATTTTGCACACTCATCGCCCCCAACGACCACACAAAGTTGTAATCTTGTAACCAAACTTGGAAGCAGCGATACAAGTGATTCTTTTCATCGACTTTCTGTTTCGTTAATAACTCGACGGCAGACACATTCATTGATACGTTTGTTATTCTGGATGATAGAAGAGCATAGCAGAAATAGTGCGAAATAGGTTAGTGAAACCATGGTCATCAAAAGTTTCAGTTTCAGTGAGATTGACGGATCCTTCTTAACACACCATCCTGTAGGAAGCTTAATAAGTATTGCGAATCGCATTATTCGAACGGAATTAGAACTAATGATTTCTCTTCCAGCCATTCTGCCGAGATTCTCAATACTTCCGAAGTGGAGAGACAATAACACCAATCACGGCGGCGAGCTCTTCTTCCGACCATCTACCACAGTTCAATCGATCCGATATGCTAACTATCAGAGCTCGTACGCTGCCAATGATGTTAATCAACATTACTATCCACAACCCCAACTACCTGCCACTTACGCAGCTCTCTACCCGTACATAAACCGGACGAATTGGAGCTCAAAAAAGGATGTAAGCTTGCTTGGCACCACTAAAAGCACAATTTTCAACAGCTTTTCTCAAAGTTTCCTACAATCTACTACGTCACAGAACGCTACCAAGGGGGCCTGCCGGCAGCAAAAGTCCGGAGCATTCTCGGTCAATGTGCAAAAAGGTCACGAAGGCGGTGGAACAAACAGCAACAGCAGCATCCGAATCAATCCGGGAATTATGTCGAATCCGTGTGGAAGGAAATCGCTTCAGATAGAAACAGTGCTGCCGCGGCCGGAGGCAATCCATCTCAAGCTGCTGTGTAGCCTGTCAAGTAAAAGAAATATTCGTCAGCAGCTAGTTTGATGAAGTGAGTGGCTAACATCAAACGATCGAAATCTTCGACATCGAATGACGGAGGAACGACTAATCCTGCGTACTTGATGGATAATCCGGTGTTCGAGAACAGTCCGGGTTCTGCAGCCGTCAAATCTAATTTGCAGCAGATTATGAATACAGTGTACGTCAGGTATATCTATGCTTCTTGAAAACTTACGAGTTAAATGGTGCGATCCTACTCTGCCCTGATGTACCTGCTAATTGTGTTTATTAATCAAGAAATAAACATTACTTTTAATTGGTTTTATTGGATTGCAATTTTTGTTTGTTTAAAATATATGAAATCAACCATTTAAAATCCTAGTTAGAGAAGCAGTTAGTCGATATCCCTTTTATTTCATTGCACCCGCAGCTCAGCGACTTTAACTAACAATTCAATTAAATTCATGATTTTGTCATCTCCGACCACTGTGTACCTCCCCTTAGCCCAACATTCTAGTAACACCTAAGGCATTAATGATTATACTACGAGGAATTTGAGCCTACTGATAACATGTTCTAAGAAATTAATTTATATTTTGCTACCAAACACTGATTAAAAGGTTTCGATTTATTCCAAATCCCATTCAAGATAGTGTTTATCTTGCTAGATAACAAGAAGGCACAAAAAGTCAGTTCTGAATCATCGAATCGATAGGCCTCATATTCAGCTGAGCGAACATTTTTTTTTTGTTAGCTTGTTTTTGCACAAAGCATTCTTTCAGTAATTTGGCTTTTTACTGCATTTCATATGTAATCCCAAGTAAATGAGCTACTTTAATTGTGACCTAGACAATTCAATGTCAAATAAAATAGTGAATGTCAATTGAAAAGTACAGTTTCCTTCGCATCATATGATACATTTTTCCATATAGGCTAATTAAAAAAGAATTATGGTAGGAAACTTTAGCGAATTAGCGGTGCCGGTGGTGTAGTGATAAGCGTGATTAACTCTCACCACAGCAAATTTGACTTTAAAAATGTCATTTTCATACGTTTCACTTAAGTGTCGGACGTCCTCGTCTCGGAAAAGGGATGGACTTTGAAGGTGTTGCCGTTTCTTCTGATAATGTCACATCTCGGCTGAGAACTTCGATCGCAACATCGTCGGTGTTGGTACTTGATGATTTACCATGACAATGCTTTATATATCTGCGGAGATAGACTACAATAAAAATAAACATTGTTTGCTGGTGTAAAATTTTAATGTCCACGTATTGTCAGGAAATCTCTAACTAATTCCCAATTAAAATTAGAACGAATCGGAAATCGAACCTGCCGTCTTCGTAGTACGTATCAATTTTACTGACAGATATTCTACTTTCATATTAAAAGAGTCATTATTGTGTCCTAGGTCAATTTTATTTAAAAAAAAACGCACTCCGAACCAATGGAGACGCTTGGTACGTTTGTATGTATGTATGTAAGTACCCGAGCAAAGTCGGTTAACAAAATGAAAGCAAATCGATATTAAAGTTTGCAGTTCCTATCATAATGAAAACTCATTTTGATTTCAATTGTCGTGACAGAAGTCTGATATCATATTGTGTTTTCATTATGCAGTCAAGACTTTTTAAATCAAAGCAACTTAACTTGAAGTTCTTCTGTAAACTTCTTGTTTAAAATTTAGCTCATTTTAGGTCATTCGTGACTAGCCTGAGGTGACGTTTGAGCTTAAATCTTTCAGCGTGAGAAGCATGGATGCTAACCATTTACGACAGGCCCGTATTCAGTCAAACATTATGAATGCAAAATCAGTAATCAAATTGATTTCATTGAAAGCAGAATTAGTTTTCCGTTTGATTCAACAGTGTAAAATTTTGCTCTCATTTTTGCTGTCATTTCCGTTAAGTCAACCAAAATGAGACCAAATGGAGTATTCAAAATAAGTTACATCATAACAGCAAATTCTGATTTCAATTTGATCTATAACTTTGCTCGGGTTCCAGCACGAGGGGAAGTAGCCAGTAGCCTTCTTATTTTTAGATGATTTAGTATAGGCCAACAGTTCGTCAGCCGTAACCTCGGATTCCACAGGAAAGTTGTGGGGAATTCGATGGAGGTTGATTGCATTTACCGTAACTGCAGTATCGAATGGACTAGGCATGTTCAGCCCGAGATTATGAGAGCTGACGAAGTGTTGACCTTTAACTTCAGCCTTCTCTTCAGGGGTTATCAGTTGGGCGACTGAAACATTGGGTTGATTCAACGGCACAAGTGGTGGAATGGGTCTTGGCTTATTTTTGAGGATTTTGGTTAGCTTCCAGAAGGGCTTAGCACAATCTGGGAGAGAGCTCATCCTGCTACTGAAGTCCTCATTTCTGAGGTCCACCATCCTGGCTTGGATAATTTTTATTAGACGGTTGCAATGGGTCTTCAAGGCAGGCAGTCCAGTGCGTTGGTACTGCCTACGCATGGTGTTACGGAGTCTGATAAGATTTTTAGTGGGAATAACAAAGTTCAGAGTATTGCTCACCTGTCTGGATACTGGCAAGTGTTGTTCCCTGGCTCGGAATATCGCCTCCTCCAAGGAACGCAGGCATTGGTCAACGTCTTTGGGGACGTCCGGATGTACTTCGTAGTCGACGGCGGTGTCGACACAGTGCTGGAACCGATCCCATTCAACACGATGGTAGTTTCGCCGGGATGTTTGAAATCTTTTAGCTGAGAAGCCTACTTCGGCCACCATCGGGTAGTGGTCCGAGCTCAGCTCCTGGAAGGCCAGAGGTTGCGAGATGTTGTGGCCCATGTTGCTGACAAAGATGTCGATAGTCGCAGGGACCCCAGACCGACTCAACCGGGTGGGAGTGTCCGGGGCCAAGATGGTATAGTGGCCTTCTTGCAGGTCTTCATTCAGGATGGTGCCGTTTCGATTGCTCCGACCGTTGCCCCAAGCTTGGTGTTTTGCGTTTTGGTCACCAGCAATGATGAAGTTCTCCGGGTGAGTTTGATGATGTCTTTCCGGAGGGCCACTGATGTTGGTTTGCTTTGGGCAGTAGGCTGCGATGATAGTAATTGGGCCAAGTGATGTGCTCACCTCCACTCCGATGGCTTCGATTGTTTTCAGCTGGAAGTTTGGTAGCAGCCGACAACTGATGGTCCGTCTTGCAGCGATGGCCACTTCTCCACCCCCGGAACAGGTGCGGTCACGTCTGACGAGCCGGAGACAGTATTGAAAATCATAACAAAAGAGTTGCTGAAAGTAGGCTTGAGTATAAATTAGGATAAACGCCAGATTATGTTTAGATATCCCAACAATAAAGCAAAACTCCCCCAGAACAGGTTACATTAAATGGAAAAACATTTAGGCTTAAATACCTTGGAGTATGTCTAACAGCAGACCTGAATATAAATTTAACCAATAGACACAGGTGTAGAAATGCCTTCAAAACTAGCAGAATGGTACATAGTAGATTTTTGTAAACAATTTCATCCGAGTTGGGAGTTGAGGAAGACCATATATAAAACAGTATTAGATCCAGCACTTATCTATGGCACTAAAGTAGCCGTTCTTACAAAAAAGAGTAGGTTTTCTCTAGTTTATTATGACAAACTCATTCTACGCTATATAGACAGTGAATGTAAGAGAAAAGATAAATTAAAATTTAACGCTAACAAATTTCTCGACGGTAAAACTATTAACAGAAGAATTAGAGTAAGTAGGATCTCTTATTACGGCCACATTTTGAGGAGAAAACATAATCATCCATAAGACTAGCATTCAATATGAATTTCAAAAGGAAAAAAAAAATAAGGACACCTTAGCTTAACTCGGATTAAATTCACTAGATCAGGATTTAAGGTGATATTTAAGTATAAATCCTAATGAATGGGTACTTTTGGCTGAAGATAGGGAAAACATTAAAGGTAAAGTGAAGAGATTTATAAAGAAGAGAATAGCGAAATTTCAAATGGGGAATCTACAGAGGACGAAGGAAAGAGGGATTGGAAATATAGACACTGGAAAATGGTAAGTTTTTTTTTTTATTTTAAAACATATTATATTCCAATTTGAACGTAAACTTAAAAAAAAATCGAATATCTAAAATTCTGACCGTAACAAAAGGGTTTTGAACGCTTATAACTTTGTCATCTACACACCAAATTTCGATTTTCAATTTGCTGAAATAGGTTCAGCAAAACAAATCTTTGCTGGAAATCAGTAAGAGCATTTTTAGCATTGCCGAAATCCAGTAGTGCGCCATACAAATGTCAAAGCATTTACTGATAATCAGTAAGCTGAGCATCCTGGCTACTACCATGACAGGTTGCCAAAACCCGTCTACGCTATCTGACAACAAAGTTTAACTTTGTCATTGAGGTTTTCTTGTTGCTGCAACTCTGGGCACCGTGGGTAGTTTTTTAATAATCAAAGCTTCAAGAAAACATGGAACAAGGAATATAAATTGATTTCTAGAAATATAACTTATTTATAAAATAAGCGTATACTTTACTTTACTTTAAAATATGTTTCAACAATATTGTTAAAAGGGATATCAAATAATTTTGCCGCTTTCTCAGAAATATACAACTGAACTGTTAGTAAACCGTTATTACATAATTTTACTGTTCTCCCAGTAATACTTCGCTGAAATTAACTGGAAAATCAGTTAAACGCTGTCAGTTATTCTGCTGCTGAGATTCAGTAAAATGTTGGCTTTCTACAGAAGATCGAATTGCTGAAAGATGAAATTGAAATCAAAATACACCAATCGATAGGAAATAACTCTACGAATCTGCTGAAATAAATACTATTCCAATTTTCCATTCAAATCTTTTGAAACATGTACAATGCGGTGGAGCAAACAGCAACAGCAGCATCCGAATCAATCCGGGAATTATGTCGAATCCGTGTGGAAGAAAGTCGCTTCAGATAGAAACAGTGCTGCCGCGGCCGGAGGCAATCCATCTCAAGCTGCTGTGTAGCCTGTCAAGTAAAAGAAATATTCGTCAGCAGCTAGTTTGATGAAGTGAGTGGCTAACATCAA